CAGACATGCTAACCAAGGCGGTGACAACGGAGAAGTTGAAGCTTTGCATGGCTTCAACTGGCCTTCCAGATACTTGATGACAAGGCGTGAACGAGAGAGAGAGATCAGGGGTTTTACAGAGGATACAAGTTCTTGGATGGCAGATGATTCTTGAAGATGGAGCCTTGTTCAGATTTTTAGAGCGGATACCCGACCGGGTACGATGGATTACCCGACCGGGTATGAGGTAGTTTTGGCCGGGCAACTTTCTGGAATGGAAACCTGATCAGGTATATGTGATCTACCCGATCGGGTATGTTGAAGTCTTGACCTGGGAACTTACTGGAACGTGATACCCGACCGGGTAGGGGAGTTTACCTGACCGGGTCAGTGGAGATTCTACCTACTGTTTTGGTTACCCGCCCTGGTCTTAACCCGGGCATGCTTGCTGAGGAGATACCCGACTGGGTCTAGAAGGGGACCCGACCAGGTCTACGGGTTAATCTTAATTACGGGCTTAATTTTGGGCCTGCGGCTCTAATCTTTGTTTAGGTTTTTGTTAAACCTATTTAAACGAGTCTAATGTACGTGTAAACCCTTGACACATACATAATAATAAAACAGCTCTCTCTCGTTCGCCGTGGACTAGCACAATCACCCCGATTGTGTGAACCACGTAAATTCTTGTGTTCTTGCTCTTTAATTTATCGTTTTATTAACCTAAATCGTAACACTATACACTCTACTAACTACTACTCATATTTAATTTGTGAAAATATGTTTTATTTTAGTAATATTGAAAAAAAGCATTCTTAATTGAAAAATGAGAGTTAACTTGGTCATATACTTCTGCAGAATGCAATCTTTTTAGGGAGAAAAATATTATTCGTACACAAGGACATATTACACTTTATATATATATATATATGTATATATATATATGTATATGTATATATATGTATATATGTATATGTATATATATGTATATATGTATATGTATATATATGTATATATGTATATATGTATATATATATATACATATGTATATATATATATATATATATATGATATAAATGCCCCCATTCTCTATTTTCCATCTTCTATCCCCTCTCTCACTTCTCTACCCACTCTTTATCTATTCTCTACACGTACAATTCTGTCTCAGGCCTGTCTTCTTCTCTTCACCATCATCCCCTTTTCTTTGACATTCTCTTGTTCTCTACCTTTTCATCTCCAACTCTTTTTCTTATTTGTACAAATCCTTCTCTATTTCTCTCTTTTCATCCTTTTTAATAGTTTTCATTTTTAAAGATACATGTAAAATAGTCACACAAACATAGGTGATGTAAAGAGGATCCTATTCATTAACATTGTCAGAGAAAATGTAAGTTTACTCTTTTTCTAAAACAGATTTCATATGTTGAAAAGGTTATGAATAAATTTAACATGGAGTCTGCAAAAGTTACTCCTGAAATTGTGATAATGAAGTGTGTGACTTCTTATAATGTTATACGGTATGGTGTTTGATGTTTCTTATGGTTATTTCTTGACCTGATATTGCTTATGTTGTGAACTACTTAAGTAAGTATATGTCTAGTCCTGGAATGCCTTAAAATGGTTGTTGGGATACTTGAAATCTTGTTTGAATAATGATTTAATGCTTTATAAGTGTGTTATTGCTGTGAAACTGAATAGCCATGTGGATTCCAATTATGCTATTTAATTATAGGGATAATAAAAAATCTACTATTTACTATAATTTCACTTTGTATGGTTCATGCAAAAGTGGAAAATCTCATCTTCAATCTATGGTTATTTTATCTTCTAGTGAATGAGAATATGTTGCAGCTACGAAAGCTTTCAGTGAAGCCATTTGACTCAAAAGCCTTATTTCTAAGATTCATTTCTTAGATTAGAAAGGCTGGTAGGAAATAAATATTCTAGAAAGAGAACAACAACAATTCATTATGTATAGTGAAAAAAACGTAGAATAACAGGAGAGTTGATGACATATTTATTGGCGTTTACAACATGTTCACAAATTAAATGTTACTTGAGCTTGCCTGGACTTATGAACCAATACTAACGTTAATTGCTATAGCACATCCATAACAAATTAAGTAATCGTGGACCGATTTAGATAGTCGAGTCGTATTATGGGCTTGGCAGGGCCCATTTTCAGTTATAAAGGAGCGATAGTATTTGATCTGATCCATTATCCCAACAAGAATGGTGTTGTCTATTCTGATAGCCAATCTATCATACAATTGTGCCAAAACCATGTGTTTCAGTATAGAACTAAACATATAGATATTAGGTTCTATTTTATTCATGATATTATTGTTGATGCATGTGTGACGAAGAAGCTATGCAAACTACGATCTGAATTCAACCCATTAGAGATGGGTACCAAGTGCCTATGTGTTGATGATAAGTAATTAACTGTTCTCAAAATGATTTTGAATTTTGACTTTGCGCCCTCACCTGAGTGATATTTTACATTCTCCTAATGTAAAATATCATTTAAAGTACATTTTATATCTAGATTAATCAACATAACCTCTCCAATGACTTTGGTACTACAATTTAGATACTTCAGACTTTGGTACTATGATTTAGATACTTTCTTGAAGGACAATAATTTTTCATAAAAATTATTGGTGACAATGAGATGAGGTCTTTCCAAAAATATTACTAAAATAAAACTCATTTACACAACTATGACTAATATTTACTACACTGTAGTGTCATAATAACTTAAGCTTAAAAATTGAACATAAGTTATTGTGATTCTATTACTACTCTCGTCACTAGTCACATTTTCGTAAACAATCTTTATTTTAGTTGTAAATATGTAACTATTTTCAATAAGATTCATAATCTCGATTTACAGTTATTCTAGATTTGGGATTTTCCATTTTTGAGATGTTTGAGGTTTAAGTAACTCAGATGGTTGTTGAATTAGTGTTTAAGATGTTTTCACTGCGACATAAATTTGATGGTTTAGTTTGATTTGTTTAAGGTTGTTTTAAAGTGGACTAAATATTTAAAATGAATTGATTTGGTCTAGTCTGATCTGATAAATGTTTATTCTTTAAGTATTTTACAACTTTCGAAACCTTATTTGAACTGGTCTATTTAAATTTGGTTTGGTCTAAATCAAAATGGTCTTTGTGAGTCTATTCTAGAATCGAAACCAGTCCAATTGAAACCACCCTAAGGATGTTTTTACATATATTATTTTTCAGTCCCAGATCAGACTAGACTAGACTTAAACTGACCAGAATAGACATACACAGACCAGACCAGATCACTTGCGTAGTTATAAAATACACAGAGACCAAACCTTTATCAGACCAATTCAGACCAGACTAGACCAGATTTAAATAGACCAGACCGGACCAACAAATTACAGTCCAAGTAAAAACATCCCAAGTGTAGTCTGTTAAATATTTGGTGTATATATATTTTGTTATTTTGGCCAAAAAAATAAAATATAATTTGTTATGGTCTGAATTTGGTCCAATTTGATTATTTAATTCTGTTCAAGTCTGATAAGAAAAGGAAGTAAGTTCAACTGAAAAACATCTTAATGTTACGCTAATAGTTAGTGTGCAAGTTGCTTTCTGTTGAATTGATAACATGAAGATTTATATAATTAGTGCAAAATTTTCAGAAGTTCGTGCTAAGAACTTGAAACACGCTTGAGTTGAGTGAGAATCAGAATTATTCGGAGGAAATGGATAGTGTGGATTTTATTATTAAAAAAAAAAAAGATTAAACCAAAAGCTCTGAATTTGAGAAATTTATAATAAAAGCCAGGCAGGAAATGATAAGGAAAGCACATACACACTCCATATGTTTGAAATAGTACTCAATTATCTTGTTGGCCTCAACACAATGCCCAACTGTATTGCTCTGTCAATTCTCCTTTTCTCCTTATATATACTCCCTACGTACGGGGTGTATTACTGTATTACTATAATATTCATTATTATTATTATTATTATTATTATTATTATTATTATTATATTACTATAATTGCAGTCCTTTCCTTTGAAAAATGATATTGGGTTGGAATGTTTCACAAATTTCAAGAAATTAGTAGAGTGCATTAATAAAATACCATTCGTCGTTGACACACCTGGCCTCATTGAAGATTTATCTAACTATAATAAAAAAGATTTAGAATCTCAAAAATTTAGAATGTTTTAATGTGAAATAAAGATATACGTAGTACCATTATGAAATGAAAGTACTGCTATTTTTAATTTGACGAATATTAAATTACACGTTTTAAAAAATATGTACCCGTTATTAAATGTTACAAACCTTTTAAGTACATAAAATGGCTGTCATTACAAATCACTCTTAAATTTTTATTCCATTATTGGGTATCACAAAAAGCTTAACTGAATAATCTAAATGTAAATCAGCCCAAAAAACTTCACGATGGATATATATTTAATGGATAAATGAAACAAAGAAACTGATTTATTATATTTATCAGCCTAGCTATTAATTTCTTGAATATTTAGATAAACAGAATAAAGAATACCAACGTACCCATTAGTCTAAGAACAAAGAACTATTACAAATTTACAGTTTGTAATATTCCATTCCAACCCCATCACACGCATTACTCTCATGGTCTCACATGCGAATACATCTATGCATAATATCTAATTATATAATCCACCCAATTTGATGATCCTGTTATTTATTCACTTATTTATTTGGTCAGCATAAATTACTCTTAATCGTTTATCTTATACGTAGTATATACAACTTTTATCAAACTTAATTTTTTTGCGATTTTGTAAAACTTTTAATGATTTATCTGAATATGTAAATTTCATTTACTATAATTAAATATTTAATATGAACATTATTAATGATCAGTTTTTTTTATCATCGGTCATCATCGTAAAACGGGCAAAGAGAGTATCAAATTAGCATGGACATACCAGTAGTATATGTTTGTACGTATTGAATACAAAATTGTATTACTCACTCCCCACTGCTATCGCTCGAGCCTTTAGCTTGATTATATATATCCATATCGATCTACTGCTTCTTGATCTCCTCTAAATTCTAGGATTGACTTTGTCTATATATATAGCAAGACATCTATCTCTGACCTGTTTTAAGGTCGCGGTCGGCTTCGAGAGTGAGAGAGAGATATAGCTATACATATAGAGAGAGAGTGAGAGAGAGAACAATTTATAGGGTGGGTTAGAACATGACAATGAGCGCGGTTGAAGACAGCAACGGCGGCGGCGGGGCGGAGAAGGCGGCGGGGTTCGGCGACACAACGTTGACAAAAGTCTTCGTGGGAGGGTTGGCATGGGAGACGCCCAAAGAAGCCTTGAGGGACCACTTCCACAAGTTCGGTGACATTCTTGAGGCCGTCATCATCTCGAACAAGCTCACCGGCCGATCCAAGGGCTACGGCTTTGTAAGCCAAAAAAAGAATATTTCATTTTCAATTTTCATGGTATTTTGTATTTTTATATTAATTTATTAAACATCTGATATGATATCTATGCTTGTCGATCGATAAATAAAATGAAGGTGACTTTCAAGGACGCCGAGTCAGCGAAGAAAGCTTGCGAGGAAGCAACGCCGATGATCCACGGACGGCGAGCTAACTGCAATCTCGCCTCCCTCGGGGCTCGCCGCCCGAGGCCACCATATTCTTCCACCACCTCTCCTCCTCCCCAAGGTATATACTGTGACTGTAATTTGACCCAATTTATCATACCCAACATTTTAAAATATGATATAAATCATATTTGTCGGGTACTCGGGTATCATAGATTTTAGTAGATATAGTATTGTTTAAAATACGAGGATATTAAGGTAAATTCTAGGATACCTGAAGTATTGATCCTGCTTTGTCCATGTGAATTAATTAAGATGTTACAATTAATTAATTAGATCATATATAAAAATATGATAAAATAACAACATGAACACATGAAATGCATTATCAATTGTTAATAGGGTATTCTATGATTCACCATTAACTAATGAATGCAACCAGTCGTGAATAGTACGAAGAAAATGAAAATTATTCGTTAAAATTTAGTATTTTGGGAAGTATATAATTGGGTGCAATAAACAATAAAGTAGTGTGAAATTTGGGTTAAGTAGGGAAAATATATAATAATCCGTACGTAATAGTGATGACAACAATGGTAATAAATTAATTAATAATATGAATGATGAAGGACCCAATGTTGTGGGACCGAGGACGCTACCCGCAAATCACGTGCAATTCATCTATCAGAGCGGAGCATCTCCGCCGCCGCCGCCGGCACTTGCAGCCAGCGTCGGTGGCTCCCAATTTCTTCATCCGAATCATCATCATCGTCAAGCTGTTCCCCTCTACGGGTATATATATATGATGACTTGTATGATGTTTTTACTGAATTTCGTGATACGTTCAATTTTATGCTTTGACAATTTCTATTACTACCATTTAATGTCGTCCTTTTTTCTTCTTTCAAATAGGTATCCAGCCAGCTACGTTGCCACAGACCTAAGCTATAATCACGTAAGTTTCCATCTCAAACCGACCTCTTTTTTTTTTAGTTTTTGCCACATTTTAAAAAAAAGATAGCAATTTTTTCCAGCAGTGGTTTGTTATTATTGTGGAAAACAGTGTAATAATCTTGTTAAGACTTAATAATCATTTTGTGATTGGGACATTACAGTTTAAAATGATTCCGTTTATGTCTCTTTCAAAATGAGCTTCGTATATGTCGCTTTAAACTTTTCGATCCAAGAAAAGAATGTCTTCACTTTTCCATCTCTAGACTCGAATCTAACAATTAGACTTCAGATTTCTTTGTTTCTTGCAATATGCACAACCTTTATACTTTTAAAGAAAAATTGATAAGTAAAAAAATCTCTTATGAGTATATCTAAGTTTGGATCTAAGAACATAAAAAATCCCATTTTCTTGTGAGGTTAGGCAATATTTTCATACTTAACATATATTCTTTTGCTATGGGAAATTGGATGATTTATTAGTCTGACTTGTATATGTTTCCAACTTTTAGTAAATACTATCTTTGTTTTTTTGAAGATGTTCTTTATTTGACTTTTACGTAGTTGAAACAATTTTTTTCATTACTTAGAAAAATGCCGTTTTGTTGATTTTAATATGGAGTATTATTTTGTGATATACAGTTTTGGCATTCTGATAGATGAAAATATAGAGTATTAAAGGGGTAATTTGAGCTTGCACCCCATTTTATTGTTCAAATTAGACCTTGCACTCCGTTTTTAAAAAACTTTGTTTTTGCCCCCCAATCCCATATGAAAAGACAAAAATGCCCTTCACTAGGAATATGTTAAAGTCCAATAGAAATGTTAATGGAGGTGCATTTTTGTCTTTTCATAAAAGGTTGGGGTGCAAAGCTCAATTTGGACAATAAAACGATCGAGGTGCAAACTCAAAGTACCTCATTCTTAAACTATTATTACATGGCCTAGTCTCAATTGAATAAAAAAAGAGGTTTTGTAACGAAATCAAGCACACATTTTAAGATTGGATCTGGATCTTTAATTTGTGTATTTACTCGTTATGAGATACTCCCTTGGTTGCTCAAAATTTTGTCAATTTTAACTAAGAGAGATAAAAATAAAATATTGCATGTATTCCCCATACATAGACTTAGTGCCCGTTCGGTAATACCAAAATCCTGAATCGGCGAGTTATGTTAACATTTATCAAATTTTGATTGAAGTGACTGAATTGGTTGATTCTGCTGATTTATGAAAAACTTACATTTAAAATATATGTTATTAATAACATAAAGAAAAAATAAACGTAAATATAGTTAAAGTGGTCATTTTTAAAAGGTTTTAGACATTAATTATTTGAAAAGTCATAGTGAGCTGTAAAAATGGATTCTTTGGTGGCATACATAGCTAGATATTGTAGCGAACTGATTAAACTAACTTTGATGCAGAAGGTGGGGTACGGAGGTGGGGCCTACATGAACGGGCAGTTTTATCCAGGTCAGCAACAGCACATGATGGGTGGAAACGCCTTTGTGCCAGCACTGTACCCTTTGTACCAATTCCCCTACCACACAATGGGCCTTCCAGCCCATATGTATTATCCGACACCGTCTGGCCCACTTCCATCTGTTCCGGCCCTCTTCATCTCTAAAGCTCCAACACCAGGTACTCATCCTTAACTTTGCATTGTACTTCCTCCCATTTTATATTATATGTTCTGTTCCAGATATAGCAAATATTGAATTTATATTTTTACTCAATTAATGGAAATTTAGTTCATTAAATTAGAAATATAAACTTCCGTTTCCATTAATAAGTTTGTATTAAGTATAAAATATGAAAAGCAAACTCGTGTGATTAAAAATTGTGCAGAATATAGAGAGATAAATAAAACCATAAATTATTTACTTTAAAAGAAATATTTAGAATAAATAAGAAATAAAAAGTGGTATAGTACATAATATGGGGAGGCGTAATAAGTACTCCGTGCAGTAAACGTGTTTTATCCTTGGACAGTCAAACTCTTTTCATGGAAAAGGAAACGTTGGGCGGCAGTCTCACGTGGGATTTGGATCTCATCCACCCCGTACCAGCTGTAAAAAATGTTAATTAATTAATTACTAAACATGGTTAGCTAGGTTAATATTTATACATCATGAAATGATCAGGAACCTGACCATGCGGTGTACTGTTAATCCCCACTTTTTATTACGAAGTATTATTATACTCCTTCCGTCCTTTATAACTTTGTCAACTTTACTTTTTTTGGTTGTTCCAAAAATTTTGTCACTTTCCCTTTTAATCAATCAATTTATGATTTCTGTTATTTCTCTCCTCGGCACAAATCTCAATGTACCGATCAAACTTGACAATCATTTTAGAGACGAGTGAAAAATCAGATATTTGTCAATAAAACACTTTCTCCTTTTGAACTTCAATTTTATGCTCTGACACCTCACAATTTATCAAATTTGATCGACACATGCATTAATAAAGTAAAATTTGTGAGTTAATTTTTTATAGAGGAGAAAGAAATAATAGGTATCACAAATTAATTGATTAAAAGAAAAAATGATGAACTCATTGGCACAAAAAAAGGAAATATAAAAAGATACTCCATCCGGTCCTGAATCAAATTCACACTTTCCTTTTTGGGTAGGTCCAAAATAAATTTCACACTTCTTCTCTCTTCCTTATTTCGTAAATTATCTATATCAAAACAGTGTCAAACGGTGCAAAACAGTGTCAAACGGTGCAAAACAGTGTCAAACAGTGCCAAACAGTGTCACAACAGTGTACTCTACAGCAAAGTTGAATTTATTTTCTTAATTTGTGTGAAGTCAAACAATGAACTTGTTTTGGAACTGCATGTTACTCAAATTGATTATGGAAGAAGATTGTGGAAATGATTTTAGTGCAACAAGTGTGTATATATAGGTTGCACACGGTCTTCTTGAATATATGATTGTGTAATTTTGTTACATATAGGAATATTATATTAGATCTTTTAATTTCTAATATTAAATATGTATATCTTTGAGTATAGAAGTGATTTTTTGTACGAAACAAGTGGGCTTAAACAGTGGCGGAGCCAGAGGTTTGTCCAAGGAGGGGCAAACCAAAGACTAAAAATTTTAAAGTTCGCGTCCAAAATATAATAAGAACAACAATAGCGTAATAATTTAACAAAAAATTATAGTTCATTACATACTACTTGATTTACTTCTGCAACCTAGGCAAATCAATCATACGAATTTTTATATTTTGAAAATGCTGCATCATAGCTTCATTATCAATTGCTTGAAAATTGTCTCTTTCGATGGGCATAAATTGGCAGATGAGAAACTTACTTGAAAATTGCAGAATCTGAGAACAAATGGGGAGAAGTGAGAACTAGGGCTGGATTCGGTTCGGGAACCGAACCGAAATAGGAAATATCCGAACCGAACCGATCTAGGTTTCGTATATTCTATAACCCGAAACCGAACCGATCTAAGTTGGGACCCAATTTTTCGGACACCGAATTTTCGGTCCGGTTATTCGGTTTTTTCACAAAAACCGAATGGGTATTCAATATTTGTTTATATTGTAGCTAATACTTGCACTCAAGCTTTACTAGCAACTTAATCTTTATCAACTATGAAGGAGCGATTATATAGGCTCAAATGAGGAGTGAATCCTCTATTTCATCCGGTGTGGGACGAGTTGTAGGCTGAAGAAAATAAAATTGGAAGAATTGGGGCGGAAGAAAAGCAAAACAAGTTTAACTTAATCCGTCCTGGGGGGATTCGAACACGGGTGATACGAAGGGAGCGTGTTACCTGTCTCCACTGAGCTACTCCGGATTATTGGCAAATTGGGATTCCAAATGTATTACATACATTAATCCCCTTTTATTTTATATTTCATTTTTTTTACTTTTTCTGAAAATACTTTTTTATTTATTTTAACACTTCATCTTAAAATAACTTTAAGTTGTACTTATTGTTTTTAAAATTAAAAAAGAAGCCGGGGCAAGAAACATATTATAAGTAATACTAGTAAAAAAAATTAGTCGGAGCGGGGCGATTGCCCCCCTTGCCCCCCCAGCTCCTCCACTGGGCTTAAATACATTATACGAATTACTTCGTATAAGTTATATTATATTGTCAAAGCATATGAAATGATACTTGGGTCAGCTTCAATTCATTAGTGGTTGATACAGAGTATTTTATAAAGAAGTCAGTATTTGTGAAATTAAATCGTCCCCTGCAAATATTTTTTCGAATATGAAAAACTAACCACTTAAAAAACGAATTTTTCGAATAGAATATATAGATATGTGTAGTATACTTCGTATTTGGTAAGCTGAGATTAAGTAATAATAATAATATTAATATATACTGGAAATAATGTACGCTGTCTGCTTGAATAGGGTGTTTAACAATATGATAATAATAGGTACAGTTGGCAATGTGGAAGGTTTGAAGCGGGTGGTGGTGAAGAGTACGTAGCAAATTGCAAATAACAAATTATACCAAAGAATTGAAGAATGGAAGAGGATGATTATGGCTACTCAGAACTACACTATTATTATAAGATCTGCGGCAGCTCTTCTCATTTCTTCCTTTTTATTTTGCTCTTCTACTCTTTAATTACTATCATTCAATTGTTTCTTTTTATTTTTGAAATTTTAATCAATGGGGACAAAAAAACTTCTTGTTAAGATTAGGCAGCGGATAACTAAGTATGTAGGTACTTTACATTCATTGTTGTTCTATAATTTCTCTTTTAATTACTCGTCCTAAATAAATGGGGTATTGATTTTCTTAATTTGGCTATTAATGAAATTCTTACCCACCCGCCATCGCACATTGTTTTGAAATCATAAGTGATCCTATCTAAGGGCATCCTCATTGGGAGGATTATTATGAGATTAAATTGGTGACATGGCAGTTTTTTTAGAAAATTATCATTGAGTGTCATAGATTATTTAATGAGATTATTTGCTACAATAATTTGGGATCAAGATATGAATCTGGATTATTTTAAGATTATTTGAAAAGTATATGTAATAGAGATTAATGCAGAACAGAGAAAAAATAGATTATTTGAAGATGATGATTGAGAGACATAAATGAATTTTGAGATTATTTTATAATTAATTACATAACAATATTTAAATGGTAAGAATCCTAGAAAAGTTGATTATTAGAGATCATGAATGTAGATGCTCTAAGAGGCCCTTTACTTATGACTTAATGAATTTAATGAGAAAGATGATTTAATTAATTATTTAGTCTCTATGTCATCTATAATTACTTACGACTTCATTGAAAACATGTCTTATTCATTTAGTCAAAACACTAATTTAGTTATTAAACTATGAAAAAACACTCCTTCCCATTCAGACGTCCATTAAGACGTCTATTCGGTTAGTTTTTTTACCTAGTATAGAATAGATATACTACAACAACCTCCACAACAACATCCAAACCTTAGTCTCAAAAGATATTGGGGTCGGCTAACATGAATCCAACCCTAGTCTGATTGTCTCATTCCTCACGCAGTCCTTCCTAGTATGCTCACACATCCAACGCAGCATGCGCATCTCTGCCACACTCATCTTTTGAATGTGACATTGTTTCACCGCCCAACACTCTACGCCATACAGTAATGCAGACCTAATTGTTGTCCTATAAAATTTACCCTTCAGTCTAGTCGGCATACCTCGATCGCATAGACTCTTCCACTTCATCCACCATGTTTTGATTCTATGGGATACATCTCCATCTAACTCACCGTCCTTCTGAATTATGGAGCCCAAGTAACGGAACATATCGCTGACTGGTATCTCCTTATCATCCAGAGTAATTCCGCTATTACCACTGCTTTTACCTCCACCAAACTTGCCCTCCATGTATTCGGTCTTGCTCCGACTTAGTTTGAAACCCTTATTCTCCAATGTTTGTCGCCATACTTCCAACTTTGCTTTAAGACCTGATTGCGTCTCATCAATCAATACAATATCATCGTCAAACATCATGCACCACGGTATATCGTCTTGAATTGACTTCATAAGTTCATCCATGACTATGGCAAATAAGAAAAGGCTCAGAGTCGATTCTTGGTGCACTGCAATAGTAATAGGGAACTCTTCAGTCCTTCCTACATTAGTACGGACACTTGTAGTACAATCCTCACACATATCCATGATGATGCTGATATACTTGCGTGATATGCCTTTCTTAGTTAAGGCCCACCAAAGAACTTCTCGAGGTAATCTATCATATGCCTTTTCTAGGTCAATGAACACCAAATGCAGGTCCTTATGAGTGTCTCTGTACTTCTCCATAAGTTGCCGAAGAAGGTGAATGACCTCAGTTGTTGAGCGACCAGGCATAAAACTGAATTGATTCTCTGAAATCTTCACAGTTCTTTGAAGTCTTTGCTCAATCACTCGCTCCCAAAGTTTCCTGGTGTGAGTCATAAGCTTAATCCCTCGATAGTTGGCACATTCTTGTACATCACCTTTATTCTTAAATGAGGGGATAAAAGTACTCTTCCTTCAACTCGTTGGCATTTTGTTGTTTCTCCAAATCATGTTGAAAAAACTTGTTAACCACTCGACGCCTCTCTCCCCCAAACTTCTCCAAACCTCGATCGGTATGCAATCTGGACCCACTTCTTTCTTCCGTCTCATCTTCCTCAGAGCTTCTTCAACTTCCGTTGTTTGTATCTGTCTCACAAAATCACGATTTACCATACAATCTGGTATGAACAAATCACCGATATCTTGCGTTTTGTTTCCGTTGAATAGTGTATCAAAGTATGACCTCCACCTCTCTTTTATCTCTCCGTCATCCATTAATATCCTCTTATCGACATCCTTCACACACTTAACTTTTGCAATATCTTGAGTCCTGCGATCACGAAGACAAGCAATTCTATAAATATGTAGTTCTCCTTCCTTAGAGTCCAACTTTTCATACAACTCCTTGTTCACTTTCCCTCGTGCTTCCCTTACGACTTTCCTTGTTTGTCTTTTAGCCTCCTTGTATGCTTCTATGTTCTCATCATTCCAACTTGTCCCCAACTATTTGTAGCAATCTCTTTTATTCATATTTCGTTCCATGTCATGTGATATGACTAGGTGATGCTATTGACCGTCACATGTCTACCACAGCACCCTCCTCCTTTATCCTGACTTGGGACAGGCATGATACCAAAAGAATGATATCATGGCGGAGTTGGAATAGATATACTTCGTATGTTAATAACTGACATTATTCATTGTCAATATAAATTATAACTCAATAATAATATTAAATTGATTAATTTACTTTATTCATATAGTTTATTTAGCACACAAATAAGCAGCTTCACATACAAAAAGACTCAATCAACACACCGTCTTAATGTAGACAAACATTATTTAAATCCAAATACAACTTAATAGATAAAAGTAAACAACCCCTAAGTGGCGTTTGGTTCAAGTGATCTCAGATTCACCAAGTATGATATGCACAACATTATAAACTTTATGAAAATTACAAGACATGTATATGAAATTTAAAGCAACGTGCGCAAACCTTAAAACAAAATATATCTTCGCTTCTTAACGAAAATCAATCTTTCTCATAGAGAGTTAGTAGTTTTATCCAATAAAATATCAGTTCTTGTAGAGACGTATAACTCCATACCGTGTGTCATTTTCTCTCGCAAAAAAAGCTCATAGAATAAACTAGAAATTAGGTCACAAAAAGGTGTCTTGGACTACTGAGAGTATAAAGGCATACTAGTATTATATATGATAATGATATAATAATAATAATAATAATAATAATAATAATTATAATAATAATAATAATAATAATAATAATAATAATAATAATAATAATAATAATAACAATAATAATAATAATAATAATAATAATAATAATAAATATTGGGTTTTGCCCACTGGTCCGAATACACACTTTATTAGTATGTATAAACACAGAAAATGAGTATTAGTTTTAGGGTATCTCGATCACTATCTCGATTAGTATCACTTATACGATAGGTATGCAGTAGTGTGTATATTTTTAATTTAAGAGTTGCAACTAATAAATTTATGTATTGTTGAGGTTTAGTCCCGTAGATCCGGAAGCCCAACATAAACTTCGGATATTAAGGACGATGGATTCGGTATAAATTTGAATAAGTATATAAAAGTGTATAAACTAGCTATTTTTACGTGGAAACCTGGAAATGGAGAAAACCATGAGACTTTTTAGGCTAACGTCCAAGCCCGCTCTTTCTTATTAATATGCTCTCCTCACCATTTTACATAATACATATTTCTTGGGACTCCATTAATGGAGCTTGAATAACTAAGCTATCAAAAGGGGAAGAAGAAAACTCCCATGGGAGATAACAACCAAAGCAAAAAAGGGAAAAGAAGCAGATCCCACAACTGGAAGCTTAGCTTCCTATTTATAGAAGGGGAGGGCCCTTTTATGCAAATGGGCCGAAAAGGCTTTAGTGGGCCAAAGCAAGCCCAAGTAGGCCAAGTAGGCCTAAATGGCTCCAAATGGGTCCGAGGGGCCTAAATGAGCCTCGCAGACCAGGCCCCGTACCGGGGCGGTGTATTGAGCCTCTAAACAGTAGTAGCCCGGGATAATATTCCCCAACACAAGTCCCCCAGTTTCTTGAGTAGTTTGCTTGCAAATCTACTCGATAAAGTATACTCTTGCTCACATCCTTTCCTGCTCTCCCTGAATCAGTCTTTGAATAATCTTGGGCGCAAGGCATGCATAATCCATAAGTGAGGTGCAATCTCGCACTAGGCATGACGGCGCTGTAGAGCCAGCCGCTCGTGCTGCATAAAAGTGATAGTCGTCATCCTAGATTAAGGATCGACGAGCCTGATAAAAAAGAAGGCACGACGGCGCTGATGAGCCAGCCGTTCGTGCTGCATAAAGCGGCGGTCGTCATCCTAGATCAAGGATAGATGAGCCCGACCGAGAGTCAGGCACGATGGTGCTGTGGAGCCCGTTCGTGCTGCATAAAGCGGCGGTCGTCATCCTAGATCAAGGATGGACGAGTCAGACCGAGAGTAAGGCACGACGGTGTTGTGGAGCCCGTTCGTGCTGCACAAAAGCGGCGGTTGTCATCCTAGATCAAGGATGGAAGAACCCGACCGAGAGTCAGGCACGACAGTGCTGTGGAGCCCGTTCGTGCTACATAAAAGCGGCGGTTGTCATCCTAGATCAAGGATGGACGAACCCGACCGAGAGTCAGGCACGACGTTGCTGTGGAGCCCGTTCGTGCTGCATAAAGCGGCGGTCGTCATCCTAGATCAAGGATAGACGAGCCCGACCGAGAGTCAGGCACGACGGTGCTGTGGAGCCCGTTCGTGCTGCATAAAAGCGGCGGTTGTCATCCTAGATCAAGGATGGACGAACCCGACCGAGAGTCAGGCACGACGTTGCTGTGGAGCCCGTTCGTGCTGCATAAAGCGGCGGTCGTCATCCTAGATCAAGGATGGACGAGTCCGACCGAGAGTCAGGCACGACGGTGCTGTGGAGCCCGTTTGTGCTGCATAAAAGCGGTGGTTGTCATCCTAGATCAAGGATGGACAAACCCGACCGAGAGTCAGGCACGACGTTGCTGTGGAGCCCGTTCGTGCTGCATAAAGCGGCGGTCGTCATCCTAGATCAAGGATGGATGAGTCCGACCGAGAGTCAGGCACGACGGTGCTGTGGAGCCCGTTCGTGCTGCATAAAAGCGGCGGTTGTCATCCTAGATCAAGGATGGACGAACCCGACCGAGAGTCAGGCACGACGGTGCTGTGG